GCTTCCTAGCCAGCTGGGGTCACAGCAGCAGTCACAGCGGACCGACCGCTATTATTCCCTGGTCCAAGACCTTGGGCCCAGTAGGCCCTGAGCCCCAAGCCGCTGCTCCCTGGGGAGAGGGTCTCCCCAAGCAAAGATGTCCGATGATAAATAAATAAATATATAAATAAACAAACTCGGAGGGGGAGGGAGAGTTGGAAAATGGATTCCCTGACAAGAAGAGATAATAAATGAGAGGCGCTTTCAGATAGATATCTCAGACGTGAAATTGCGCCCAGCTGGTTGTGTAAGCAAACAAATAGTTTCATGTTAGGAACTCTCAACTTGTGGCTTGATGAATAGAACACGACAGAGGTAAATGGGTCTTTAACTCATTTAGAAATAGGACTCTTTGGCTTCCCAAGCAAAAAGCCAGCCGAGTGATGCCACAGATCCTGAACAGGCCCTTTAACAAGAGTTTTATTGGTTCCCACTTGGGTCCCCCTGTCCCTCTCCCCCTCCCCATGCTTCTCATGGTCCCTACTTGCAGGGCATTTAGGTGACGTGCTCCGAGGAACAGGGGAGCATCCCAGACACGAGTCAGCCAGGGTAGGAAGAGAAGAGCTGCCTATGCATGGACAAAAGGAGAAGGAAACAAAAACATTTTCAAAAACAAACTGATTTAATTTTTTTGCACTGCCCTGAAGAGCTTGGCTTTGGGGTCCAGCTCCCCAGCGTCCTTAATACCAAGGCTGGGCTGTAAAGTCTCCAAGACTCTGTCCCACGGAGCTGCCAGAAGCTCCAACCCCTATTAAGGAGGGGCAGAGTCTAGAAGTGCAAGGTGAACAGCAAACGATCCACATCTCTGTTCTGGGCTTTCTCTCACCCAGCCTGATGCCAAACCAGAATTGGCGTGGGAAGAACAGAGCATGTCAAAGGTCATACCTTCCCATTCTGCATTATCATCTGAGCTGCAAAGGCACACCCTGGCTTTCCTAGTGATTTCTCAAAGTTTCAGCTAAGGTAATTTATTTAAATCTATTTTGAAGTCCCTGAAGTTCTTGGGTGCCCAGCAAGTGTTTGGATTATAAAAGAGCATTAATCCTAGCTAAATAGGTAATTTGGAGATAGAAGTCATTTTACGTTGGTTGCCTTCAGTTTTGAGATGTATTTCCGCTGACTCTGGGGAACCCTTGTTTTCCCGTGCTCGGTTAGCTGGTCTCCATTTTCCCAACTTTTGGGGTCCAGGGGCTCCTGCTACTCCTCCGGAGCCATACACTCACCTCGACACTCACACCCTGCGTCCACGGCTCCCCCTGGCGCCTAGCATGGAAGTGGCTCAATACTGAGGGCCCACCAGCCGGCCACCCAGGAAGAAGGAGCCCAACCTCGCTTCGGATTCAGTCCCAGGACCACAGAAACAGCTAGAGCCAGAGAAAGCACAAGATGCACTACTCAGGCAGTCTGGCCACTACTGGAACCTGTTCGCGGCGCTGAGAGCCCAGAGGCTGCTGGCCCGGCCCCACGTGCACCTTCTAAGGCCAGGCAGGAAGCAAAGGGTGCTTCCGGGGCTGTAGCAGGGCGCTTCCCTGTTGTTAGTAGGCTACAGCAGCAGTTTTTGGGCCTCTGTCTTGGTTCCTCAACATTCCCTCAGGGTGAGCAGGTGTGTGTGTGTGTGTGTGTGTGTGTGTGTGTGTGTGTGTGTGTGTGTGTGTGTGTGTGTGTGTGTGTGTGTTTTCTGCGGTCTGTGCTCCGAAAGGGAAGCTTGCAGGTTCAAGTAGCTGTCCAGCCTAGCGAGGGTGCACAGCTCCCGAGTCTTGCGGAGTCCTCCTCTATCTTACGAAGAGACCTACATCTCTGATTCCAGAAGCACAACCTTCTCTCCTTATATATTGCAGGTTGGAAGAACAAACTAGTGCCGGGAATTCCCAAACAGACCAGTGGGCTTGCACGTATCCCTGGTTCTTCTTCCCCGCTCCATGTTTCCTGGCTCCTGGAGGTGCCTCTAGGGAGGCCTGCGCTTCTTTCCACATGGTAGAATGGCTGGGAGCTGGGCCCAGGCTTGCAAAAGTCGCTAGGATTCCCCAGCACCCTGCTGACCCCACCAGTCAGCAAGAGTCAAATGACCACAGGCGCCCTGGAGTCCTGAGGAAGTGCACTGTGCATCTTGGACCTGTGCTGTCTGCCTTTTTCTACACCAGGAGTCTTGTGCTTGGGCCTCCATATTGAAATTAATTGAAAAGTACATTTCTGAACTACGAAAAATGTTTATCTGTTTTCATCATAGGGATCACATTGTAATGAATATATTTACATCTCATTTCAAGAGAGCAGGAAAGATCAGTGAGCTCTCCTGGCAGCTCGGCTCCCCTCCCACTCAGTGGCCTAGCTGCAGTCCACCCTTGAACCCACACTCTGCCACTAGCCTGTCTGTGAGGGTTCCCAGTACTTCCCAGGAGTCCCCTGTGCCTTGGGTGTCCAGACTGAAGGAAAGTGAATGTAGGCCCAAAGGCTCCATGCCCACCCAGCCTGCCTAGCTGCCCTGACTTAGGTAGTCCTCTAGCGGCCTGGTTTGAGGCCATTGACCTACAGAGTGGCTTAGCAGATGCTGTGCTGCACCCAAATTACTAAAAACTGTCAAGCAGGTGGGGCTCACTTAAGAATTGTAGGAACCTGGGAACTTACAGACAGCAAAATGAAAGCACAGGATTACAGATGATTCCTGAAAGTGAGCTCTTGCCTCAGCTAAGCCTATCTGAGGCCAGGGGGTGGGGGATGTATGTGAGAGAGAGGTTTTATTTTTAAAGATCTGGCTTTATTAATACGTTAAGGAAGCGTTCCCTTGGCAGTATGTGTTCTCACAGCTCCAACTCGGATCCCATAAAACATTCATACTCTGAAGGCTGTCACAGAGCTTGCCCCTCAACGCATGCCCAGCTAGATGCCTCAAGAAGAGGTATCTCTCCTCCAAGGGTCACTAGGGTCCAAATGGCACTTTCAGGAAGAACCCAATCCAGCCCAGCTTCCTGACTAGTACTACTAGTTTCCAGCTTTGAAGTGCCATTGGGGAGGGATTGGAGGGAGTGGCAGTGGGTGGCTTCTGTCCACCCACCACCACCTACCAGGGCACCAGTTCCAGGCAAGAGCAAACCTTAAGTAGGTAGATCTCCAGGGAGGCACAGGAGGGAACAAAGTCAAAATCCCTGGTACTGATGTCCCAGTTCCTGTCCAGAGGCAGTGACGGGCAAGACCTAGAGTCAGTGGCCCATCCAGACTCAAAAGTTTTGAGGAGTCCCCCCTCCACCTTGTCCAGGTCTGCTAGGCAAGCCTTTGCAAATTCTCCCCACCTTTGCAGTTAGAGTGTAGGTGTAGTGGGTCTGAGGAGACCTGTGAGGCCTACAGTGCCTGGAAATTGTGCCCCAAAGGCAAGGCAGCCTGCCCCATCCTCTGCCTTAGCTGTGCTCAGGGCTGCTGCCCTTGGAGTGGAATCACAAAGACGTCTGTCTGCCACCCAGGCTCCTGCCTTCCCCTCCGACACCATCCCACACAGCCTGGCCTTTTCATCAGCTTTACAGAAGTAATGCAGTGGTTGTTGTAAGAAACAGACCAGCAAACTTAGTACTGGGCCTTAAAAGTCCCCTCTCCCTCTCAAAAATCCAGATTCTAACAGTTTATTCAAGACAGAAATTATTCAGGGGTTTCTCTTGCTCTGAGGGTATAGTTCAAGTAACCAGACACATGGGTTTTGCTAAATTCTTTTATTTTTGTTTAAATTTTCACTTCAATTTTAATTCTTGAAGAACAGCCTCGACAACATATATCGCACTCATTATAAGAAGCAAAGGGTTATATCAAAAATTATTAGTATAGAATCACAGGAAATCTGGTTTGGAACCAGAAAAAAATACAAAACAGATATAGATACATAGACACAGGACATTTTTTATAATTATTTGGAAAATGTTATTTTCCCCTAATCTTGTTCCTTTTTCTTTATGCGCATACGATGTTTAAATTTTACAAAAAAATGAAAATAAAGACTAGTATTTTACAAAATGAATAACAATGTTCAGTGTGTGTGTTTCTACATAGGATTCAGTCCACTTCCATATGAGTTGTTTTCTGTACAGAATATATCCACATCCATCCACAATAAATCCTGGAAGGTCCATTAGAGTCCTTCTATTTTATTAAATTTCTCATGGTCCTTTCTTCGAAAAATTTGTTTTCATTTTCTCACCAGACACGAGGTCCTTTTCTTTCCTCTCCAATGTACTTACATTATACATCAGACCCTCAATAAGTCTTTTTCCTCCTAGTTCTCAGCTCAGACTACATTCCTGCAGAGTAGGCTGCTCCTGTCCCCAGCCCTCCTCCCCTCTGCCTGGCCTGCCTGGTCCATCATACCACATCCCCAAGGCTTTTGAGTCCTTGGTCTGGGTGAGTCCTCTTAGTCTCTAGGGGGTGGGGTACAGGGGCAGGTGGAAACGCCCCAGGTCTAGGAGCATTGGATGGACATGTAAGGCCAGTTGAAACTGCTCCCGGACAGCAACATATCTCGGATGAGAGTTTCGATGGGGGTTTTACCTACCAAACGGACGAAGAAGAGCTGCTCAATGACGGAGGAGGACACTGTGCGAAGAGAGGGCAATCGCAGCAGCAGCTTGCCAAAGCGGCTGGGCTGGTTGGGGTACTGGCTCCTCACATACTCCTCCAGGGCACACTGCGATTTTTCCTGCAGGCTTTCGATGTGGGCAGCATCCGACAGGCCACAGGCATCTGCCAGAGCAGCCACAGGAAGGAGAGACCGGGAAAGGGGACAGACCGTTAGGTTAGTGAGCAGTAAGGGCACACGGCCATTAATGTTTTTGAGGAGAAAAGGGAAAAAGTAGAAGAATAAGAAATAAATCCTTCCCTCTGTGCCTCTTTGCTCCCTTCCCTGACATTCTCTTTCCCCATCCACCATACAAATAAAAATAAATCCCCCTCCCCACGCCTAGGGGAACATGGGAGAGACATACATACACATACACACAGAAGTACAACCTCGCCACCCCTGTGTTTTCCTCTTTCACCTTTGGATTAAATAATGCCCGATGGTGAATCCATGTTTGCTGTAGATAGCAACCTGTTCTCTCCTGTAGGGGAGAATCTTTCTGGTTGTGCTCATTAAAAGAAAGGCATTTGCCCCTTTCTCTCCTGATTTTGGGGTACTTGGGACCCCCGAAGAAATGTGCAACCTTGGAAGCAGTTTTAAGAGGCTCCTTTGAGTCTCCTCTCAAATCGAAATGACCCCAACCAGCAAGCTCAAGGAGAAGCTAGATTGTGTAGTGAATACACGTGGCGGGAGGTAAGGATCACAAGCTGTCAAGACCAAGAGTCAGATCAAGCCCATGCTATAGCAATACAGGATTTGAGATCAACTATGTATGCAAGCAAGTACTGCGCAACAAATCCTCAGTGCGAGGGGACACTTCTCTCTGCTCCTTAGATCAAGAAATGGAAAACCGGTCACATCTCTGTAAGCTATACAATAATCAGGAGGAACATGGCTCAGTTACTTCAGGCCGCAGAAAGGAAACATCTACAGTGAGCAGACACAAAGCTAGGCTAGAGGCAGCTGATACTTCTGTCTCAGAAGTGGGGGAGTGGGGAATTAAGCATGGATTTGGGGGGAGATAGATTTCCTGCAGCAGGACTAGAAAAGGGACAAGGCACCTTCATACAGTGATGGCGACTGGAAACCTTTGTGCTTATTTCAAACCAACCAAAGCCCCTTTTGGTCCTCTAAAAGTATTTCAAGAGAGCAGATTGCCCTATATCCACCAACCAAGTCCCAGCCAAGGAAGAGGAGCACGGAATTAGAGAAACAGGGGGAAACTTCCCCTTACTCCCTATGCCATTTCTTAATATTAATAATACATATTTTAAAATCAGGGAGATCACAGAGGAACCCTTAGCCAGTCAGGAGGTTGACTAGATATCAAAGACATAGTTTGCTAATATAGAGATGGAGGAAGGAATTTATGTATGATACCACCTGTAAAAGGACACTGTATAATGGGGAAGTGTGACCCCCCAAGAAAACAAACTATTCAAAACCAAATCTGTGCCCGCTGTTTCCATGCTGTGCACCCTTATAGTTCAAGAGCTGGAGTCACAAAGCTCTCTACCACCTTCATCTACAAGGGCATGGCCTCAAGCAAATATATAAATAAAACTAGTGATAACTCAAGAACTTCGGAGGCAAGTCTCCTTTGACCTCAGCTCCAGACTGGGTTCCTCTCAGATGTCTAATTACTCCATGCAGCTGGTGCAGTACACCCATGCTGGTCTGAGTTAGGAAGCCAGGGAGATTATTATGGCCTGCACTGCCAGGGCAGGAGCACTTGGGGCTTCACTGCTTAGAGTGGGGACTCTGAGGTCTGTCCGTGGGCCTGCCTTCTAGCATAGCCTTGCTGAATGGCCGTCAAACAGACTTGCCTTTACATATATCTTGCGTTGCATACATTTTCTGTCCCTTGTGCCATGGGATAGTCTAAGCCACAGACAACACAATATGAGAAAGATCTACAGATTTTTCCTTAAAGGTCCATATGACATGTCCTCAGGTCAGTGAAACATTAGGGCCCCCAGGTTACAAGGTCACTTCCTCACTCCCACATAGGTGACTCCAAGAAGGAGAAGCCTGGACAGGTACACTAGGGCCCTGCACTGGCTGCTTCCACCTTTGAGATGGAATTTCCGTAGGAGGGTCTGCCTCTCAGGTACCAGTCATCCAACAGGAGTCCTAGTTCTGGCCCAGTTTCACACACTCAGTAGTCATTCACCCTGCAGCAGAATTCCCCCATCTGTGGACAGACAGTGTGTATGCTGGAACTAGTTGGTAGGTTGTGGTGGCAAAGAGAGGTGAGCAAAGGGTGTAATTTAGTACATATTTGCCCTTGATGAATTACATTCCAGATAAGAAAAGGAGACAGAATATCCAAAATCCACGTCTCACTTTTTATATGGTAGTGTCAATGTGGGAACCTTCAATAATTCTTCTACAGTATATGGAAAAGAAATTATGTAAATAAATAACCATTACTGCTCAGGCCCTCCCGGCTTAGCCTTTGTAGTGCAGAGAATGTATTTCATGTTGTGCATTCAGAAGAGTTTAGTGCTCAGGAAATATAGATGTAATCAGCTGCCATAACTAGAAATCAAAGTTATTATTGTGCTGAAAATGGATTTATTGTATTTATGTTAACTAGATGGCTCTTTTCAGAGTCAGTCTCATTTATTTGAAGGAATATTTAGGTATATGAATTAAAGAATTTTTTTAAAAGCAAGTTCAGGTCATGACCTAGTCTTTGGATGCTGTCCAGAATATTAAGGATTAAACATACCATCCGGAGGCCAAATGTGAAAACCACCACAGGGGACCCCCATGCCAGCTTCAAATACTTGCCAGAGCGAGCCACATTGGACAATATGTCTAAAACTGTCCTTTCCATCATTCTAAGTTTGCTTAAAAGTTGGACGACTTTGAGAAGGCTTCCCATGAATTCCCTTCTTCCCATGAATTCCCTTCTGGCTAGCAATCAAAACAAGTTTAGTCAAAAGTGGAAATGTTCTGTATGGAAGGGAGGTGGGTGAATTACTACTGACAGTTCTATTTCCATTTTCAGATATTCTGCCTGCAATTTCCCAACAAAATATTGTTATTGATCACTTCTCAGCACCTTTGCACCTTGAAGACATGGTTCAAAAACTTCTCTGGAAAACTTTTTTCTTTTTAAAGAACTTTTCACAGGAATGCTTTAGGATGGAAAATTTATAAGTGAAGCCTGTATAATTCTGCAATGTTCCCTGAAGCCCGCACAGTCCTAGGCCTCTCTCTGGGAACCAGTACCATCAGCAAAGTCGAAGGGATTCAAAGAACTTCAGGGACATCAGGAAGGGGAAGAGAGACCTTTCCTGAGAAAACCTCTGTCCAGCTCCAAGTCACACGTCTGCTTTAAGACACTTTGCTGGGTGAGATTTTAAAACCCTAGCTTCTCTTCACTGGCTGGATTCCTGATGGATTTGGCTAAAGCGATGGGTAGGAGAACGCCAGCAAAGCCTAGGCCTGCCAGAGTCAAAGGATCCCGGTCGCTGCTTCCCAGGCTCTTTGTCACTTTTGAAAAACACATTTCCATCAAGAAGACTTATTAAGACAAAACGCATTCAAACACCGAGGAACCTGTTCAATAAATCTTCCATTTGTTTTAAGTTTTGCACCTTGCAAAGAATAACCCCCCTCTCACTAGCAGACCTGCATTTGTGCTGAAGGTAAAGGGGTGGGGGAGCGGCCCAAGTCCATGGCTCTGGCCACCTTGCATACAAATGAGCTGCTCTTGTCTAAATAAATTATCTGCTGCTCTGATCGATATTAATACTACATTTGCCACATTACAATATTGTGCAAATTTAAGAGTCATTTTGATACAATGTAAATATGATTCTTCATGCATGGAAGTCAAGAAATAGTGATATATTATCCCACTGCTTACTGTTCAGCAAGGCCTTAGGAAAGAGATTGTTGCCATCTCTGCTCAAGGATGGTTTTAATTTGGCTTTGGAGGGCCTGGCTCTAGGATAGATTTATTAGCATGGTTTATTTGTTCTCCTAATGGACGAATGAAAAACAACAGTACCAATAGCGGTGGTGAAACCGCAGCTAACCTTCCTCATAGTGGGCAAGGCCCATCTAAGCATCTCTGCCCCACCAGAGTCCTCTCGGGCTTTGTTTGTATTTCCGCTGTTACCTGCTGTCCCTGGTGTTTATATGTCTCCCTCTTGCAGGTTCCAATAATAAAAGGCGGCTAGTGTTCTCACACGCTCAGACCAGAGCCCTTCAAAGGCAACGTTAATGCACTTTCCTGGAAGTTAATTTGAACCATCTATCATAAGAGGGATTGTTAACATGCGTGCTACTACCGCCTACACTTAATTTGATATTTTTAAGGCATCCTTTTAAATTTCCAATGTTCGTGTGTTTTGCATAGCTATGAAATTTATCTCCCGGCCCGCAATCCTCTCATGCTTGCGGGCTTTACAGTATTGCTTTTGTTTTTTATCATTCTTGTTTAGATCGAATCCGTTTTTTACGACCCTCAATAACCCCAGCAACTGCAAACATGAATGGTTTCCGATAAGGGAAAATCAGGCAGCAATAAAGCGGGATTATTTATGATTTATTTGTGCGTATTCTTCTCTTTCCGCCTCTGTCTGTGTCTCACTGTCGGGAAACTCATCCAAGGAGAGTGCCACACAGAGTAGGAAGCCACCTTCCCACGTTCTCTTCCTTCTCTATCGTTCCTCCCCCAGAAACGCTGAGCTCTGGCACACACACACACACACACACACACACACACACACACACACACCGAGCACACACGCAGCCAGACTATCCACAGTGTATGCCTCTCCCCTCCCCAGGCCGTCGCCTCGGTCTAAGCCCGCCCGGGGGTCCAGGCCATCAGGCCAGGCCGCCGGCCTCCCCGGAGCCTCCTCCGCTCCAGTAACGCTAAGCTCGCAAGATGGCAGCGGCGCGGCCCGCGACATCCACGTACAGGGGCTGCAGACCCTGGGCAGGCCTAAGGTGGGGTGAGGGCCGAGCCTCACAGCGACAGCGGCGGCGCGGGAATCGCGGGGAGCTAGGCTCCCGCCGCACGGTGCCCGCGCCGGCTCCCGGCACAGCCTGCCCTCCCCGCGACCGCATCCTCACCTGACGTGAACAGCACGATGGCTTTGAGGCAGCTGTACTCGGCAGAGTCGACGTGCAGCGCCTTGAGCTTCTCCACCTGTTCCTGAAAGATGCGAATGTGGTCCATGAAGGCCACGACGCGGTCCGCGGACATGGGCGAAGCGTGGAGGCCCGCAGCGGCCAGCAGCGGCGCCACGTGCAGGGGCATGGAGCACTGGGCCGCGTTGAGCACGAACAGCTCGCTCCAGGTGAGGCGTAACAGAGACACCTGGTCGGTGATCTGCAGATCCGGGAAGAAGGGGATGTTGCGGGCCCACTCGACGGCGCTGAAGAGGAGGCGCGCGGCCAGCTCGCAGATGTTCTCGATGCCCATGATGTTGTTGGGCTGCATGCACTGGCTGCCATAACGAGACGTGGGGTAGGGCTCTGCACGCAGCAGCAGCGAGATGTAGCCGGACAGGTAGCAGTGGCCATTGAGGGGGTCCCCGTTTGTGAGTGCGTACTGGCCTGGATTGGGCTGGGTTGGAGGCATTCTTCCTCGCTGAACCGCTGACAAAAAGAAAGAGAGAAAAGAGGCAATGTGCATCCAGGGGGCTTGTGAACATCGCCGAGCCGCAGCGCGCACCCAACGCAATGCAGTTCTTTCCGGCAGTCACACGCATCTTCTCCTGCTGGCTCTCACTCACAGACCACATTGCCAGGAGATCTGGGGTGAAGCCCTCTGCCTTCACCGGCTCGATGTGTTCATCCATAGCCTGCACCCTTGGCTATTTCAGCCAGGAAAGAACTAGGCCTGACTTCAAGGCCCCTAGCTCTGCCTGGCCAAGAAAGTACCACCCAACCCCCCAGCTACTAAGAAGCAACACACAGATAAATGAAACCCCATTCATCCTTCCAGAATGATACAAATCGAAGTTAAAAAAAAAAAAAAGTGAAACCCGAGAAAGGCTGTAGTACCAGGCACAAGCCTTAATGCACTCTTCACTTGCAAAGCAGCAGCGTTCGGTGCATAAAATGTTCCCATAATCTCTAAAGTGCTACAGAATTATCTTTAAAAGAGATACAAGTTACACATCTTACTGACCACTTACAACTTTTGACCAGAGAGTAAGCATCCCACAACCCTCTCCCATCTTCCCGGCTCCTGCTCACCCCATACAAAGTTCTCACTATAAAAAGCAACAGAAATTTGAAATATTTCAAGAAAAAGTTGAACTTACAGTAGCCAAACATTATTGAAAAAAGTAGGAAATATAATTAATGTCTGTCCTGCGCGGTGCCACTGCAGCCAGCTTTTGCCCAGTGAATGCACGAGCTTGCAACTGCAAAAACACTGGATTCATTAACCATCTGAATGCAAAACGTAAGCATGCTGTGAGTTCTTAAAGCTGACCAAAGTTTTTTTTTTTTATGTGTATGTTTTACTTCGACAGCGCCAGCATTTTAAATTGCCATGTAAACAAAGACAACTTTAGGGAAAGTTAGGGCTTCTGAACTCTCCCTCCCACCCACAACAAATTAGTAGAGATAGGTCCATGTCCACAGAGCTCTCCTATTTCAGGTTGGGCTCTGTTTTCTTTGGTTCTAATTCCAAAGAGAGTTCCAGTGCAATCTACGTTCTTGAAACACAATGGTGAGAATACTTTTTCTAATTATAGTTTTGAACTTGGCAGTTATTTTTCAATTAAATGAGATCACAATTCAAAGTTGTTGTTTTTTTTCCCCCCAGATGCCTACAGAATCTCCCTGGAGCTAGAAATGAAGTCGTCATATTTGCCTTCTCCTTGAGATCTGAAGGAATTCAATTTATTTTCTTGTGACATATAAAATATAATTTTGAAGTCAATTACAAGAAGAAGTAATCTACATTTTGCAAAATTGACTGGTTCACTAATTTGACTATAAGATATCTTTAATGGTTGTCAGGAGATAAACTTTAACTATAAACCGCTAAATATATTTGTAAGAAAAGTGCTCCATCTCATGCCACATGAACATGAAGCATATCCAGATTCAGCATCAAAAGTTGTGTTTAATAAAAAAAAAACCCATACAACACATCGATTAAATGACGCAGAAGCTGATGCCAGCTGCAGTCTATGCATTAAAGCCAAATCAGAAGGATCGGTAAATGCCGTTGTAAATTGTAATTTGTATGCAGTATTTAAGCAGAGGGTGGAGTTTGATGAAGAAATAAAACGAGTATCAAGCTCTAAAAATGACAATACTCTGAAGGCAGGGTTCAGTCACAAACTTTCCTTTCAAAGTAGTGGGGTGAAAACAAGGCCACAGCTCGGGAGGAGGCGGCCCCAGATCCCAGAAGGGGAGAGGGAACCAGTGAACAGGCCAGAAGCCCCCCTCCCCCTAATTAGACCTACAAGTGCAATAAATCTCACTCCTCTTTTTCCAAGCTAAGCTTCCTAAAGGATGATGGCAGCAATGACCCTGCGGTTCTGGGTCCTCCAGCCCCAGCCCTCTCCCATTCCAAATAAAGGGCAGGGTAAGGTGGAGGGGAAAGTGAAATGAAGAAAATAAAAACAAAAACATAAACAACCAACACGGAAACAGTTTTCTGCGAGAAATAAGCACCCCTGCCCAAGTTCATGCCAACACAGCCCCAAGCATCCTCACACACAGGCGGGAGCGAGACACACACGGAGCACATCCAACGGAGGAAGGGAGGGGATTTTTAAACCACAGCTCACGATCCCAGGGACACAATCCTGAGCAGGCAGCGGGAGGGGTGGAGGAGCCGGGGAGAGGAGCGCAGGCCGGGAGGGGGAGGCAGCGGCAGCGAGCTGGAAGGGGGGGGGGACGCTGGGGGAGGAATGCAGCGAGGATTGGGAAGCCCGGACCGGCTGGGACCACAGGAGCCCCATCCCACAGCCACAACCACCCGGGCGAGGGAGAAAGAAAGAGCAGGGAGGCGGGCGAAGCGCAGGGAGAGAAGCAGAGAAGAAATATTCACCTTCCCGCCTCATGCCCACTTTGAGGCACTTCTTGAGGCGGCAGTATTGGCACTGGTTGCGATGGTGCTGGTCGATGGGACAGTTCCTGTTGGCACGGCATGTGTAAGTTAAGTTCCTGCGGACGCTCCTCTTGAAGAAACTTTTGCAGCCCTCGCAGGTGAATTGGCCGTAGTGCTTGCCGCTCGACTTGTCCCCGCACACCACGCACTCGATGTGCTGCTGGCTCTGGCCCGAACCGGGCGGGCCCTGGCCCTTGTCCCCCGCCGTGCCGGGGGTGGCGGGCGCTCCGGGCTGGCCCGGGGTCTGCGGCGTGTGCGGCGCACCGGAGCCCGCTTGCTGCTGCTCGCCGCCGCCGCCGCCGCGGGCTGCCTGCGCTGCGGGGTTGGGGCCGCCGGGGTTGCCCCCGGCCACGTCGTCCTGCGGATCTCGCCAGCTGCTAACTACCATTGCCATATCTTTGGGCCCGGGGAGCGCTGGGGGGAGCCGAGCTGCTCGCCGAGGGCCGCGGGGCGCGCGGGCGCGCTGGGAGGGGAAGGGGAAGGGGAAGGGGGGAGGGGGAGGGGGCGGGGGGCCCACCGGGCGCCCCGGGGTCGCCGGAGCCGAGCCCGAGCCGGGCACCGGCCTCTGCCTGCGCCGCCGCCGCTGCCGCCGCCGTTACTGCCTCGGCCGCCCCGCTGCTGCTGCGCGCCCGCCCGCCCTGCTGGCGTTTTGTTGTGGTTCCTGCTGTTTTCTTTCTCTCTTTTTGCAGCCCCCCCAGGCTCTCAGGCTCCCCCCCCAACACCCCTGCTCCCCTCGCCCGCTCCCCCCGCGCTCCGTTCCTGGGGGGGCCGCGCTCTTTCTCCCCCCTCCCCACCCCCCGGCGAGCGAGCTCCCTTCTCTCGCTTTTTTCTTCTTCCCCAAGTTGCAAAATCAGAAATGGCACAGGCGGCAGCCGGGAGCGGCGCGGGGCGCAGCGCCGGGGGCGGCGGGCATGGGCCACGGCGCGCGCACACACTCGCCCTCCGCCTCGCCCGCACCCCCGCGCACACACACACTCGCACACACACTCGCTCACCCGCGCCGGGCGCCCGCCCGCCCGCCGGCCGCTCGGGCTACGCGCAGCGCGCGGGCTGAGCCGACATAGAGGAAGCGGCGAGGGCGGCGGCGGCGGCGGCGGCGGCGGCAGAGGAGGAGGTCGCGGCTGCAGGCGCCGCTGGAGGAGCCGCCTCGGCTGCTGCGGCTGCGAGCGCCGCTGGAGGAGCCGGGGCCCGGGCCGGAGTCCGAGCTGGAGTCGGGGCCGCAGCCCGAGCGCGAGCCGAGGCCGGGGCTGCCCGCGCCGCCGCCGCCGCTGTCCCGGCGGGAGCCCTCGCCCGGCTTCAAGAGTGCGGGGAGCGGGGAGAGCCGAGCAGGATGCGGGGCGAAGATGCCGGCGACGATCAGGGAGCTCGGGTGTCGGGGGGCCAGGTCCAGGGCCGGACGCAGCCAGCCATTCAGGAAGGCAGCGCTGGAGAGCGGGAGGCAGCCGGCAAGGAAGATCACACACTTTGCTCTTTTTGTTGTGCGGGTGGCGCCGGGTTCTCTCTGCCTTCTTCTTTCGGGAGGCGACGGAAGGGGGAGGAAAATACGAGATAATTCACGCCGGCGACGAATTCACAGCGAAATAGCAAAAAATAAAAATCAGAAGAAAATACTTGAGAAAAAAAGGAAAAAGAGAAAGCGAGAGAGACATCCAAAGTAGGTCGAATAAATAATCCTCTTCTTTTCCTCTTTCTTGCTTCTTCTGCTTCTTCTGCTATAACACACAGAGCTAGTTAAAAAAACCCTGGAGATCGCCCAAAAATGTTCTTTTTTTAGTATTTTAAATAAGTGCTCTTCAGCCGGGAACCAACACCCTCCCTCCAAAAAAAATCATATATGTATAAAATAACGATAAGAAGAATACGCAGGGGGTGCCTCCTCCTCCTCCTTTTTTTTTTTTTTTCAAGTTTAGTCTCTCTTCTGCAGGCAAGGAGTGAAAGAGAAAAGGAGGAGGGAGAGAAAGAGAAAGGGGGACAAGTAGTAGACTATGTAAGAAAAAGAAAGGGGAGAGATAGGGCAAGAGGAGAGTGGGTGAGAGAAGAGGAGGGAGAGGGGCAGAGGAGAGGAGAGGAGAGGAGAGGAGAGGAGAGGGGAGGAGAGGAGGAGAGGAGAGGAGAGGAGAGGAGGAGAGGAGAGGAGAGGAGAGGAGGAGAGGAGAGGAGAGGGACCACAAAATTGAAGGCGTTTAAACGGGAGGACACTCAGAGCAATGTTTCCGAAAGGGGGATCTGCGCGAATGTCTGTATATAGTGAACTTTGACACTACTATTGAAACTGACACGTTTCTATGGAGATGGTTGCCTTATATGGAGCTCGTGTCAAGGAGCCAAGAGAAGGGCTGCTGGCAACTGATAATCAAAGGCGACTGACTGGTCAGAGCCCTGACTGGGGGGAGAGAAAATGGGAGGCTAAGGTTAGCCAAGCCTCCTGCACGCCATTGGCTGGAAGGCCCTTCCCCCTCCCCCCCTACCTACAGTCTGGGACGTCGAGGGGAGGAGGAGAGCAGTGAGGGAGGGGGTGTGCTTCTGACAAGCGCGATTTACATTGAGATCGCCCTGCGCTGCTATTTACTCTGAGACCTGATTAGTATGGGTCGTGTATGGTCACACACACACACACACACACACACACACACACACACACACACACACACCAGAGGGGGAAGGGATGGTGAGGAAGAGAACGCGTTGCGATGGGAAAAAAACGAGAATGATAAAGAAATTATTTCATGTCTTCTGAAAAGTTTTTAAAATTAGATTTTATGAGCGTAGAGTGTCGCTGAAAACGTTAGGAAAAATTAATGAGAATGAAACCACCATTTTAATGATTTGTGAAGTATACTGGGTCTAGAATCTTCGTTCACATTCAACATAATCCTAGCCTGGATCCTGCTAATTTTGTGTTATTAAAAAAGCCTCCTCATTTAAAAAATTTTGAAGTATATCATAGTTTGGGATGCGTAATTACGACAAAGCACACTCATAAAATTGCAGCTCCTGTCACAAATTCGATCCGAATCGATGGTTCCTATTCATCCCAAAGATGATCTTAAAATAAACTTTCCAATCAATCCTGTTTTTCCTTCTTCATCATTTTTATCCCCAGGATGCTCCAACTCCAAACAATGCTTCAATAATTATTAATACAGCATTAGTAAGTCCTCATATCGTCGTGGGGCGGCTGTTGGTGCCCACAACTCAGAGTCACAGGAAAAGAGCAAAGGAACGAGAAGACGGGGTAGAGAGAGCGGGGCAGAGGGGGACACGAAGGGGGAAGAGGAGGAGGAGGAGGGAGTCAGAGTGGTGTGTGTGTGTGTGTGTGTGTGTGTGTGTGTGTGTGTGTGTGTGCCTGTGTGGGGGGTGCCGAGACCCCGTTCCCGAAGGTGATTGGTCGCAGGAGGAGGGGCAGGCGGGAGGAGCGGGTCCCGCCGCGGGGCTTGCAGCAATCGCTAGGTCCGGCTGCCACCTAGCGGACGGGAGCCGCTCCCAGGCGACAGGCAGCCGGGTGCCTCCTCCCCTCCCCACAGGCAGCCGGAGCCTTTTCTCCAAACGAAGACAGCACTTTGAAAATTCTTTCAATGGATTTTTTTTTTCCTTGAAAGATCGTACTGGGGGGAAAACGAAAACGATACTTCTATTAGTTACATATTCTCCAATCCCACACTTGCACCCCCCCGGGTTTTAAGATCGCTCCCCTAGGCAGGCTCAGGCGGGCGCAGGGCAGCAGAGCCACAAAGCCGGCTGCCACCGCCCGGAGTGGGAGTCCCTCCTGCCAGCCCACCCCTCGGCTCGGGAGAGCGTAAAAGTTTGTCTCTGCGCCCCCAGGTAGTGGTGGAAGTAAATGGCCAAGCTGTGCTGAAGAGGTAGGTTTGCTTTTTAACACAGGTTCCCACTTTAAATCTCACTAGGGAGGGGTTTGGAAAGCTCCGCGCGCTTGGGGTACGCTTTACACTTCTTGGTCTCTGGGACCTACCGTTTAGTGGCCAGTGATAATTTTTTTAAAGAGCAGAATAAAGACTTTCTTATGTGTGCCCCACAGCTCTCCTATCTGGAATAATGGAGCCTGCATCCTGTGTGCTGCGGCCCATTGTATGCAGCTGATGGAGAGGCGGACAGGGGGTGACAGGGGCTCCTGGCCTTAGCCCCTCAGCCCTAATATTCGTGATCAAGTCTCCCGGTTAGTTTAAAGGTGAAAGTGATATGATTAAAAAATACCCCCCTCACACACACAAAAGACAAAAAAAAAAAAAAAAAAAAAAAAAAAAAAAAAGGAAGAAAGGAAGAGGGAGAGAGAGCAAGAGAGCGCTGTTTATATAGAAATTCTAAAATTTACTTCCCAAACAATCAGAGACGGAGCCGTGAGCAGCTGAACGGAGGCTGGGGGGAGGGAAGGATCGCAGAAGAGTGGGAGAAGACGCAAAAGCAAGCGTCCGGGAACCGGAGGCCTGCTGGAAGCCGGGTCCACCCGTCCAGCCGCCCTGGGACTCTGGACTGGACACGGTGGGCACCAGAAGCGACAGTCGGCCGAGCCCTGCCCGACCAGGCAAGTAACGCAACCATAATCGTTTCTTTGGAACTTGGGGGTCTGTTAACCTTCGACAACGTGGTTGGGCAGAAGGGCAATCTTCCCTCGGCCTCGGCAGGCAGCCTGGACATGTAGTCCAGGCGGCCCAGGTGGGGCCGGGAGAACTTTCGCTTGGGCCTGGTCGGGGGGCTACCATCGCCCATCCTTTCCGCTGCACTTCCTCGGGGGTGAGGACCCG